TGCAGTTAGTTACAGTGTGGGCTCCATGCTTACTGCGACAGCTTGTTGGACATCACAAAGGGGCGGGGCTTAGTGAAAGGTCTTCATTTGATAGTTTCAATGCTGTTTTGCATTATTTCACAATCAGTTAAAGCCAGCAACACCTCATGTTTGTTGCTTAACTGCTTGTGAATTGTATATTTCAGTGTCATGTTGGTAATAACACAGAGAAGTTCAAACATAATTGTTAAATGTTAGCTTGTGGAGCTCCTCGGGCCCGTTAACTATCTGATAATTATCGGTTTGCAGCCTGTAGAAATCTAACCACAAGCTGCTTGATGTTGAGACTTCTTTGTGGTTCTTTGCAGCTTCTTCAAAGAACAAAACAAAGGATGCAAAAACACGAGATATCCCTCAGTACTGGCAGCCCCCTCCCTGCTCCGCTGCATGTCTCTGACACACAAAAACACAGTGAATCATTATTATGTCAGCATATTATCTCCACATGACAATTTCCAGCAGAACAATACATTTTTTCTCCCATTCACAGTCTCAGAATGGGACTGCAGACGCCTTATTTTTGTTCAAATACGCTCTGTTCAATAGCAGAGCTGTTTCTTTGTGCTTCTCGCTGCAGAATTGCTCGGTTATGTGCTCGGCTGGTTGCCAGAGTCAAGCCGAGACCACTCGCTGTAAAAAAACAAAACAAAAAAAAAAACAACTTGTGTTTATTTATTGGTGAAGAAGAAGAAGAAGCTCTGAGTGAGAGAACTGGGTCACAGCCTCAGCAGAGCAACAATTAACTCAGAGAGGTTGGTGTTGTTTGGAGAAAGCAGCAGGCGACTGTGAAGCCTCTGTCATCAATCTGAATAACATTTCACACAGTACAGGTACTACTTTAATACTCACTGTAAAACTACACTGTCACCAGGGCAGTGTACATGCATCCTAAAAAGGGTTTTGGGTTGTTCACTCGTCATGTTTGCTCTTAATTTTGACACAAGCAGATTTTCAACCTCAGCTTTGATTAAGATAAAACGGTGGGAGAAAGTGTTTTACTCAGATGCTGTACTTAATGGTACGTGTACTGGTGAGTAATTTCATTTTAATTAATATCTTTACCAGACTGGTGATAACTGAGACGGCCCACTTTAGATTAATTTCCTGTATCTGTATCAACGTAGTTCTCTAATGCTTAGCTTACACCATAACTCTCA